GTCCGCACTCTCCCCTCCTCCCTCCCTGCTGGACTCTCCTCCAGCCACGCCTTCTCCACCGCCTCCTGATCCCGCCTCCCCTCTTCCGCCCGCCCCGCGGCAGCCGGAAACTCAAACCGCCTTTTACAACCACATGCCCCTGCACGCTGCGCCGCCAATGCCACTGCCGCCGCCGCGCGCACTGTGCCCCATTCCCCGTTCCACCGCCGCGCGGTCTGTCCGTCTGCCTGCTCTGCCCCCACCGCCGCCGCTAACGCCGTAGCCGCTGCGGGAGCCGGAAACTCAAGTCCCCTGCCGTCCCTCCCCTGCCTGCCTCCCCAGTAGGCACACAGGCGTCCACAGGCTCCACCTTCCTTCTGTCCCTGAGCCTTCGTTCTGCCCCGCCCCTGGGAGGTTGCGACTTTAAACCGCAATTGAGAAGCACCTGGTGTCTTTCTCCGCCAACCCCACTGTGTGCATCAAAGAATCCCAGTGCCTCTCCCACGCCCACCCAGGCCACCTCTCCTGCGCTCTCCCCTCCCCTTACAGGCCTGCCTTAGTAATCTGTACCCCACGCAGTACCCTCTCTAAGTTCTAACTGCCCGCCTTCCACTGTGGGCTCTGCCGAATCTCCTCCCCCATGACTGCCAGCACTTTAAATTCACAGATGGCTGGCCAGTTCCCTTTGCAAGAGTTTGCAGCTGGGCTCTCTTCAGACCCTTTTAACAAGCAGCTTCCTTCTCCCCTAGAGCCCAAGTCCTGAGAACGTTAGCTCCAGAACAGCCTCTTCCATTCCTGCGCCCATTCTACCCGAGGGAAGCAGTGGGGACTGAGGGCATAGTCTGAATCTATGCCCCCACTCTCTAAACCCGACCTTTAAGGTCTTTCTTAGTCCTCAAACCCAGGTCCGAGATCAAGTGAAAAATGGCCTTGAAAGTTCTTAATGCCCGTGAGGAGCTGGCACAGTCATAATGGCAAGCCTGCCTTTCACAGAAGGTGGACCTGCAGACACGCCTTGTTGTGGCCCTGTGGTTGACGGCAGCCGCCACGGCCCCAAGGGGGCCGTGCGCGGTGGGGTGCAACGAAAGGAACGCCGCCACTGGAGAATGCTTCAAATGCGGAAATGAAGGCCACTGGGCAATGCAGTGCCCCCGGCCCCGGGCTCCAGCCAAGCCCTGCCCAGCTCGAGGTCAAAGCTGCCCCTGGAAAAGTGGTGGGCCTTCTGCGCCTCAGCATGGGGGGGCCGCCCTTCCAGGCCATGACCACCGGCCATGTTGAAACTGGCTGAAGACTGAAGAAGCCCAGCCTCCATGACTCCAATCACCCTCTCATCCTTCGCCGAGTCTCGGGTCACAATGAAGGTAGTGGGTCACCTTCCCGGTTGACACGGGGGCTGCCTTTTCTGTCCTGCCCTCCTTTTTAGGGCCCCTTTATCCTTCCAAGATCTCGGACATGGGTATTGACGGCAAATCCACCTGCCCTCTGGCCACCGGACCCCTTCCTTGCCTCCATCATAGCCCTATAACCCACTCGTTCTTAGTCATGCCTTCATGCCTCGTGCCCGTTAGGACGAGATATCCTCACCATCCTAGCGGCCACTCTGCCCTTCAGCCTCCCGACTCCAGCCTCCCTGCTTCTTCCACTCCTGGCCCCCTCCCTTTACAGGGACACCGATCCTCCACTGCCATGCGTCCTGTCATGGGGCCCAGTTGTCCCAGACCACAGTCACCTAGCTCAGTCTTCACCGTGAATGCCTTATCTCTTTATCTCCTCCACACTGTCCCCTCCTCTGAACTGAAAACTGCTCTGATCTCGACCCATCCCCCGCCACCCTTCCCAAAGGAAAAAATGTGGCAGTTTTAAAATCCAAGCGGCTAGAGGCCTGGGAACAGGCTGCACGACCTGCTCCCTCCCTCCCCGCCTTTTCTCCAGCCTCCAGGTCCCTGGCTTCCACTGCTCCTTCCATTTTCCCTTGGATAACAGCGTATTCTAACATTTCCTCCCACTTTCACTGCAATACCTACCTCTCTCAGGCTCACCGAGTGCCTCCCACCATCCCCGAAGAAGATTCGGCGACACCATCCAGGACCGGATGACCCATCATTCCTCACAGGCTCTTACCTGGCAAGCGACCCTCCAATTTTGCTCAGGTTTTTCATATTTTTAGGGGAAACAGATACGGAATGATGAGGGAGTCATCAATTCTACTGTCTGGGATGGGAAATCCTCTAGTGTCACTCTCTACTTACAAACCCTGGACCTACTCCTATGCCCACACTCATCAACACAACTTTCCATCTACTCTCTAACATCAATCCCTCCTCTACATCCTGCTGGATTCGTCTGTCACTGGCTTGAACCCTCATCATAGCCACTCAATTCCAACCTATTGGACCATCTAACTAAATTCTCTCTAGAAATTCACAGCTCCTGGACCGGACCTCCTGCCCATGGCCTTGACCAGAAGTCCGGGCTACACCAAGGAGCCCCACTTTCCTGAGCCCTTTTGACCCTTCTTGCTCAACCACTGTCTCCTTACTGATCCCCCTCCCCTGGGTACGTATCTCCCATATCTGTCTTTAATCAGGCAATTGCTCCGAGAACACGAGAACAGGTTTCTGCCCAAGCCAGAGCCGACCGACCAGGACTCCCAGGACCCCCAGGACCAGCCCTTCACCCTGGTGACTCGGTCCTCCTTAAGAACCTACATCCACAAGCCTTGGAGCCTAGGTGGACGGGACTTCACACTGTAATCCTCACAGCCCCCACTGTGGCCAAGCTGCTTGGTGACCCCAGCTTGACGACCTGTCCTGGCACCGCCTCTCCAGAGACCTGTCCTGGCACCGCCTCTCCAGAGACCTGTCCTGGCACCGCCTCTCCAGACTCAAGAGGACCCTGGAGCAGCAACACTTCTATAAATGTGATGTATTGGGCCCCACTAACGTCTGCCTTAACCGCCCTCCCCTCCTCCTTCTCCTCCAGGCCCTGAGCAACCTACACACACCCCCACCCTCTTGTGTGGAGGTTCAAGGTCCGTGAAACCTACTACCAGAACGGCAAACAAGTCACCCGGCAGCGAAACCCAGACAGGTCTTTGCTGGCTGCCGTCCCACTCATGACTTCTCCAAGAACCCAAGGGAAAGGTGAACGTCAGCCTCCCGTGGCTGGCATTCCCCTTTGGGAACCCGAAACTCCAGAGCCCACCCTGCCCCCATGGATATACTACCAGACCAGTAAGCCGGTAACTGGGGGACAAGTCATTTAGAACTGCACCCAGAACCACACTGCATCCAGTCTCACCAAGGCCAGACCAGGTACCTTCTTTTGGTGCAACAGCACCTTAAGCAACTGCACGAACTCCTCTGACCCCGGGCCTTGCTTCGTGGTCACAGTCGTTCCCCAACTAACCTTGTATGGAGAGTTGGAGCTCGCCTGGCTGCTCCCTCCATCCCGCCCCCAGACGCACTGGGCTGCCTTCCTCCCTGTCATGTTAGGGGTGAGTATCGCCGCCTCAATAGGCCTCACTGGGGGGCCCTCGGGAACAGTCTGGTCACTGCTCAGCACTTTAATGACAAGCTCCAGTTAGCCCTGGAGTCTACTACTGTCTCTTTTAGCCTCCCTACAGCAGCAAGTGACATCAGTAGCCCAAGTAGCCCTACAGAACCAGCGCACCTTAGACCTTCTGACTGCAAAAAGAGGAGGAACCTGCATATTCCTTCAGGAAGAATGCTGTTAACTACATCAAGTCCGGAGTAGTGGAGCAAAATGTACAGACCCTGACTAAGCTGAGTGAAGAACTACATGCAGGACACTTCCAGGACAACTCCCCTTTCAGCTGGTTCCAAAGCCCCTTAGCTACCTGGGTCCTGCCCATGATAGGGCCCCTGATTCTCATCTGTGTCTTTTTTCTCCTAGCCCCGTGCCTCCTCAAGTTCATCCGCTCCCGGATCGCAGAGATGTCACGGGTGACTGTGAATCAGCTCCTGCTCCATCCCTACACTCGGCTCCCCTCCGACCCGACTCTGCCTAACCCCGGCCTTTAACCGCCGCCCCCCTCGTCGTCCCTGTTCAGCTGGAAGCAGTCAGAGAGTCGCCGACCCTTATCACCAAAAGGCCGGGATGTTAGGTCGGAGGGAGCCCGGAGCCCGGGATCGGATACATGCGGACATGGGATGAGACAATGGACTTCCTCTGGAATTTCTCACAGATCTGGAATCTCTCACGGGTCAGCGTGCCAGACACAGATACCTGCTTCTCCTTGAAGTTCACAGAGATCCCCGCACAAGATACTGACCCATTCCTGAATGTGCCGCCCACCCCCTGCGGCCGAGACTCCCTCAGTTGAATGTGTGATGATCCCTGCTGAGGACACTTCCTCAGTTCAGGCCCCCGCCCTCACCCAACCGCAGTATAAAAAAAGCGCCCCCCTCCATGTTGGCGTGAATCCACGTGCCCTGTCTTTGGGGGTACGTGGGTCTCCCGGGGACGCAGAATAAACTTTCCTTTCCTTTCTTTTCTGATTCACTGGACTCTCTATTTCTTGCGCCGCCTCCTGAGCCACCTAACCTAACAGTTCGATTCCGGTCAAGGGCATGTACCTTGGTTGCAGGCACATCCCCAGTGGGAGATGTGCAGGAGGCAGCTGATCGATGTTTCTCTCTCATCGATGTTTCTAATTCTCTGTCTCTCTCCCTTCCTCTCTGTAAAAAATCAATAAAATATATTTTAAAAAAATTTAAAAAAAATAAAGAGCTGCAGGTGACAGCTGGTTACTTTTCTAGGCCAGCCAGTCCCTGCCCAGGCCTGAGGGGCCTGGTGTGCATTTGTGTGCCCCGGTGGACAGGTGGAGGTGAGACAGAGTTGGGACCATTTTGGGCGTGTTTGCCCATCTGATGGCTGCAGGTGAAAGCTCACACAGACGTGAGGACATAGGATTTTTCGCCCAGGAGCATGGGCATGCCCGAGGCTGGGAGCGGGCTCCCCGGGCGCCGGGGCTCCCCTGCACAGGCCTTACCTGGGCCTCCACCAGCCAGCGGGAGATGGAGGTTTTCCCGTCGTAACCAGGCTTGAACTGCAAGGTCACGGAGCGGGGACCGATGTTGGAAATGCCCAGGTTGGTGGGGGCGCCTGGGAGTTCTGAAAAAGGAAGACAGGACTGAAGCGATTTGGGGGATTTGGGGCGAGAGGGATGTCACTCCACGTGGGACAGGACTCTCTGGGCACAGAGGGCACCGTGTCGCCCTTTTCCTAGGACCCTCTGAGCAGGAAGGAGCAAGGCGTGGCCTCATCCTGACAACACAGTCCTTGTCCCGCGTCCGTGGCTCAGCACACAGGGTCCTGGGACAGGCGTAGGGGCTGACGGGTCCCCCCAGGGAGGCCCCCGGGCCAGGGAACGAGCTAGGCCCCCAAGGGCTTCCTCTCCCGGGGTCTGCACGTGAGCAAGAGGCTCACGGGGGAGCTGGGAGCCGCTTTTCTGAGAGCCACGGGCGGAGGCCTGGACGCATGAGGGGACCTGCTCTGGGAGGACTGGGCACAGGGACCCTGGGAGGGGAGCTCTGTGGGGAGACAGACCACATTCCTGAAGGACGAGGGACCTCCTGAGTGGGTGCCGATCAGGAGCAAGAGGCAGGGAACCCGCCCTGGGCACCTACCTGGAGGCACCCCGGAGGAGATGGTGGAGGCAGACACCTGGCCCTGGCCCTTGGCGGTCATGGCGGCCACCTCGATGGTGTAGGTGGTAAGTGCGGTGAGGCCCGTCACGCGGTATTCCAGGGTCACGTTGGGCAGGTAGTGTGTCACGCGTGTGTTGGTGCGGTTGTACTCCTCCCAGGAGATCCGGTACCCTGGGGACCCCGGGCCGCGTGAGCTTGGCCGTGGCCGTGAGCCGGCCTGGACCCGCTGCCCTGGCCCTCGTGCCTCCACTTGTCCACAGAGAGCTCCGCACAGGAAGCCCTGGGACCGAGGCAGGCGGAGGCACCTGGCCCGGGGCCCCACGTGCTGCTTGTGGGGTGGGGGGCACCCCCATGGGCAGGGGCAGGGATGAGCAAGTCCTCCTGGTGGCCATGTGAGGGCTGGGGCTGGACATGGGGATGCATCACAGAGTGGAGGGGCCGTGAGCATTTTTATTTTTTTTTATCTGAGAGGCCCTTTATGAAGCTGGGGACACTGGAACAAGGAAGGGCTGGGGAAATGAGCCGAGGCTGGTCGGCTTTGTTCACTAAGAAGTCAGACTAGGGGGCCTCGGGGACAGTTTCAGGGGGTTTGCCCGGGATGAGCTGCCACTGCGCTTTGCTCCCCTGGTTGCAAGCCTCATGGGGTCCCTTAGAGTCTAGGAGATGCATGCTCATGGGTGAGCGTGGGCGTGCTCCTGGGAGGAAGGGCCAGCTCCTCCTCGGAGGGTGTTCTAAGCAGGAGCGGCTGCTGGGAGCTGGGGATGGGCACCAGGTCGGAGGCAGAGGGATGGGTGAGGGGACCTTCTCCTCCCCCAGGCCCGTGACAGCGCGGTGCCCACCTGTGAGGATGCCGTTCTTCTCCCCCGGCTCTTGCCAGCTGACCTTCAGCGAGGTGTCCAGGATGTCACTGAAGCTCAGGTGCCCCACAGGCCCAGGCACTGTACCCCAAGAGGACCCCCACCCCACCCAAGGCCAGTTAGAGCCAGAGAGAGACCACCGTCTGCAAGACAGCCCCGGGGGTCCTGGGGCGCCCAGGATGGGAGAGGAGACCAGGCCGCCCCTGTGCCTGGCCCCTGGGTGGGTGGGCGGGGCGGAGGCTGCAGGGGCGGGGGGTGCCTACCATCCTCCAGGGTGCGCACCAGCTGCGGGCTGCTGCGGGGCCCGTCCCCGGGGGTGGTGAAGCACAGCACGGACGTGAAGTACTCCGTGAACTTCTTCAGGCCCGACACGAAGCCCACGTGGATGCTGTCTTGAAAGTTGGGTCGGGCAGTCACCATGGTAACCTCCTCTTCCTGCTCCGGCTCCCAGGCGATCAGCTGGGGAGAGGCCGGCAAGGAAGGCAGGGCAGTCAGAAGGTTCCAGAAGAGGCTGGGCGTTCTCCCGCAGGCTGGGCTGATGGACAGAGCGTGTCCAGGAGCCCAGATCCCTGTGGTCGCTCCTCCCAGGGAAGGGGTGGCCGTGCAGATACCCACAGGCCACCGGAGCCCGTGTCCCGGGAGCGCGCCTCGGCGGGCTGTTCCACTCCGCTCACCGGGTGACGGCGCGGCACCGAGAGTCACGATGGCTTTGCAGATCCCACAGCGACCCCACCAGAGAGAGGGCGGATATTTTACCAAGATGAGCTACATGGTCTGTAGGTCCGGCGCACAATGAAGATGGAAGGCCCCCTCGTGCAAAGACCATTAAGAATTTCAAGATGACGGCAGCGGAGCACTGAACCGGGCCTGGGGTCCTTCTGAGCATGGAGCCCTGAGCCACCCAGGAAGCCGGCCCTGCTTTTTACAGACGAGGAAACTGAGGCTCAGAGAGGCTCAGTGACTGACTCTGTGTCACACAGCAAAGTAGAGAGATGAGGTCTCTAATTCCAACACCTGGCCTCCTACACGTTCTCCCTCTGGGCTGGGCGGCTGCTCCCTTGGGGTTTTCCTGAATTTGGAGCCGGAACGTTGGTTCGAGGTTAACTCTTATTCTTTAAACTTGTCCCAAGTTGGGATTTCAGTCTTAACCATTCCCCAGAGATGGGCACCAGCCAGGAAATCCCGTGGAAATTCAACATCTCTTTTGGTCTCATCTCCCCTCTACAAGCACCACCCATGGCTGCGTAAGCTTCCTGCCTCCCCTTCCTCCTCTTCTTGCCTCTTTCTAAAAAGATTAAAAAAAAAAAATCCTCATCCGAGGATATGTTTACTGGTTTGAGAGAGAGAGAGAGAGAAACATCGATGTGAGAGAAACATGGATTGGTTGCCCCCTGTATATGCCCTGTAGTGAGCGGGATGATGCTCCTGAGCAACCCAGTCTTGACTCTTCCTGCTTCTCTCTCTCTCTCTTTTTTAAAAATATTTTTTATTGATTTCAGAGAAAAAGGGAGAGAGAAGCATCAATGATGAGAGAGAATCATCGATAGGCTGTCTCCTGCACACACCCTCCTGGGGATCGAGCCTGCAACCTGGGCATGTGCCTTGACCGAGAATCGAACTGTGACCTCCTGGCTCACAGGACCTCCTGGCTCCTAGGCAGACACTCAACCTCTGAGCCACACCACCGGGCTCTTCCTGTCTCTCGATCCCTCACCTCACACTCCCGTTTTCTGGGCCCTTCATCTGTCTCCAGCCTGACAGCTGGTCTCAGAGATTCCCTCATTTATCTGAAGTTGATTAAACAGCAATTAATGGTGAAAAGCAACACTCGATGGGTTTTAATAAGTGCGGGTATTTATAGATCTAAAACAATACCCTGCCTCCGCCTCCTGATTAACGCCGCCTTCACGTGCTTCATCTTCTCCTTTCGCGGACACGTGTTTATCCAGGACGTTTGGAAATCTAATCGCTATTGTGAAAAGATAGCCGATGGCAAGCTAATTAGACACTAATTAGACCCTAAAAATACTAATCAGAAACCCTAAGTGGCATTTAATAAGTATGTTAAATATCCTCTTTATTTCAGTTATCTTGTTTCATAGCAATTAAATCGCCGAACTTCTGCGGAGTAGATTAAGAAACAAGTTTAATGTTTTAATTTAATTAATGTAAATTTGAATTAATTACGCCATCGGAATGAATTGTGTGGCGTGTTCCCCAGCGGGTGCAGAATCTGGGTAAATATCATTGTATTGGGTTTAGGCCAGTTACACTTACTACCATTAAAAAAACTAAGGACAGTCCTGGCCGGTTTGGCTCAGCAGAAAGAGCATCGGCCTGGGGATTGAAGGGTCCCGGGTTCGACTCAGGCCAAGGGCACGTACCTTGGTTGCAGGCACGATCCCAGGCCCTGGGCGGGGCGTGTACGAAGGCAACCAGTCAATGTGCCTCTCTCACATCGATATTTCTGTCTATCTCCCTTCCACTCTCTCTAAACATCAATGGGAAAATACCCTCAGGTGAGGATTAACAAAATAATAAAAAATAAAGACTGACAACAACAAAGACACAAAGGACAAAGGGTGTCTTCACAGGCGCCTTGAAACAGTACCCCGAGGGACTGCCTCAGAAGGAGCCCAGAAGGAGGGCGGAGGGTCCCGGCAATGTGGTTTGAGGTCACGGCAATGACCCCAGGCCCGACGCCCACGATGGTGGCATGACCGCAGTTATGTCAAACTATTTACGCTGGGACTGGAGCCACGCATCCTTCTCCAGCTGCATCTGAAGACCAGGAGGGTCAGGGGGAGAGGCCTCAAGGTCCTTTAGGGCCGGAAAACATTGCCACTGCCCCATGCACCTTCTCTTGGGCTCTGGGCAGCGGTGGATGGGACCGCGGGCCCAGCACACACAACAGGCTACAGCCTGCTGGGCAGTCAGCCTCTCTGGGCCTGGCCCTGGGCTAAGGCCATCCCTGACCAGCCCCATTTCATCTGCACAGTGAGGCCTCGATGGGAACCACTGTCACGTGCTGTGACCCAAAGGGAAACGGAGGTTGGGGAACCTGCATGGGAACCCACCGGGGTCTGGCCTCAGATCTGTGGACCCGAGACCTTGGGTGAAGACCACTGAGGGGCACACAGCGGCCGGCTGAGTGTTAGGGGCCCCTTGGCGCCTCTGTGCCGCTCCCGCTAGCTCGGGCTCACAGCTGGTTCACTCCAGTAGGCCTTGGTCTTGGACTCTAAGCAGACCTGGCTGCCCCGAGCGTGGCTGGGGCGAGTGTGTGCTGGGGGAGGAACTTCACACCTAGATTCTGGGACAGCAAGTCCCCCTTAGGGAGCAGGGGTCCAGGGAGGTCACCCTCTAACCAAAAGGTGGTGCTGCTGGTGTGTGTGTGTGTGTGTGTGTGTGTGTGTGTGTGTGTGGGGAGGGCAGCATGTGCAGCCAAAGCAGAGAGAAAGCCGGAGAGAGCCCAGTTCTGTCACTTACTGTGTGACCCTGGGAGAGTCACTCAACCTCTCTGGGGTCAGGCTACTATTGGGGACAGTAATCGCTAGCTGGTGGAAGCAGTGCATGATGGGGTTGAGAGTTAGGATAGTAAGGATGGCCCGATGGCTTCTGGAGTTAAAAAAAGAGAACAAGTCAGGGACATTCTCTCTTTCCCTTCCTTGGCCTTTCCCTCTCTCCGTCTGACTCGGCATTTGATGAATTCCCATGAAACATTCTGGGACGTAGGAAATGAACAACGGTTCCCTGGAGTGGGGAGAGTTCTGGGGTGGGCGGCCTAGAACCAGGCAGACGAGGGGCTGGAGTGGGAGGTAGGGCGGCTGCTACAGGGTCATCCCTTTACATCTGTTGGGGTTTGAATCATGTACATTTATTTCTTGTTAAAAATTAATGTAAAAAGTTAAAAACTATAATGGGGAATTTGGCAATAGTAGCAAAATTATATACATATTTATCCTCTGACCAAGCTATCTTATTTCTTAGAATCCACTCCTACGTTAGATGTGAAAACATGAAATGATGTTTGCACAAAGCTACTCACTGCAAGAAGGTTTGTTAAGCCAAAGACTGGAAACCCAGAAATGTCTGCAGTGGGGAGCCGGTGGACTAGACTATGGGATCCTATATAATAAAGAACTCGTATGCTAATTAGACTGAACAGCAGAACGACCGTCCGGAGACCGTCCGGATGAAGCCGGGGCTGCGAGGGCCGAATTCCATGCATCGGGCCTCTAGTATTTACACATGGAGTAGGATACAGTTGTATAGGAAGGAACAAGGAATAGCTCCATATACTCCTACGGGGTGGTCTCAGGACGTCACGCACACAAAAAAGCAAGATTGAGAAAGTGTGTGGAGTTCGCTGTCTTTTATCCAGAAGGGAGAGGATATACCTTTACCCATATATGTATGTATTTGCTTATGTTAAAAAAAAAACCCCTCACAAAACGTAAGGAAAAAAGAAATCAAACCTCTGGCGGAGGGAGAGGCCCGGAATTCAGGCTGATTTCCCCTGAACTGACTACTTTGCTCTGTAGATTTAACTGTGGAGGCCTGTACATAGGCTATATAATTACAAAATGAAATGAAATTAAAAAAAAAATCAATCCCTAAGCATCGAGAACCACAGTGAAACCGACGAGCCTGACCGTGGTCCGGAGTCGCAGCCACGTCACACGGTGAGAGACCGTACCAGGGGACCCAGCCGCTCGCGGGGGAAGTCCCCCCTCGGGATGCCCTCTGAGCTTGGAGAGCACCGTGAGTGACAGAAACCGTGTTCGGTAATGGAAGTGTAGAGGTGCCCATTCCGAGGCCGCGGCGGGCGTTTGGGGGACAGCCCTGCGGGGACTGGAGAAAAGAGACACGGACAAGAGACCCATGAGAGTATGAAGACGTCCTGGAACTGAACTGGATCCTAAAATCAATAACACACACAACAGTATTTCCTCGCTGTCCATGCACATGCCTCGGAACAGCACCCAGGGCTGGAGCAAGGACACCCCGGTGCCCAGACTGTGGCATCTAACTCTCACTTCTGCTAAGGGAACAAGACTCCTGGAAGACACGGCTGCCCCCGGGCACGGCGTAGGAAACGTAGATAGCATGGGGCGTCTTGTCATACGGACAGCAAGGACGCTATCGAAGAGTAGCGGGCGCCATGGCAAAAGGATTCCTGAGGGCCCTAGCTGGTGTGGCTCAGTGGACAGAGCATCAGCCTGCGGACAGAAGGGTCCTGGGTTCAATTTCGGTTAAGGGCACATGCAGGGTTGCAGGCTCGATCCCCAGTAGGGGCGTGCAGGAGGCAGCTGATCAATAATTCTCTCTCATCATTGATGCTTCTCTCTCTCTCTCTCTCTCTCTCTCTCTCTCTCTCCTTTCCTCTCTGATGTCAATAACAAAAATATATATTAAAAAAAAAAGAAAAGAAAAAGGATTCATGAGTCAACCTGAAGAGGCCAATGACGGGTCAATTTGGCATCACTAAGAATTATTATGGCACCTGGCTGGCGTGGCTCAGTGGTTGAGAGTTGACCTATGGTTCGATTCCCGATCAGGGCACATGCCCTGGTTTCCGGGCTTGATCCCCAGTGTGGGGTGTGCGGGAGGCAGCCAATCAATGATTCTCTCTCATCACTGATGTTTCTCTCTCTCTTCCTTCCTCTCTGAAATCAATAAAAAATATATTAAAAAAAAGAATTATAATGGCAGTGGATTGAGACATATCAGAGGTGTTTTTAGGAATTCTTAAGTATATAATACTACTACCCAAACCAAAGCAAAACAAAGAGATGCCTCCCCTACTCCAATCCAAAGTCACCTGTCCCCTTAGCAGTTGCTAAGGAACCAGTTCATTATTCTGAAAATTGCTCAGTAATGGGAGAGAACGGAGTGTTTACCATGCTTTTCCTGGATGAACGTTGCCTTTGGATAAACAACAAGTGGGTAAGGAGAAAATTCTTTTAAAAAAAAAGATTTCAGCTAATCAATCAAGACAAAATCATAACATCGGACTGTCCCAATTTGGCAAGTCCTATTGAAATGATAGATCACGCCAGGCCCGTCAGTGGGCGCCACATCTCAGTAAGAGCAGCCGCACGTCCTGCCTTCTAATAAAAACACACGCCACCATCCAGGGAGCAATCCTGGGAAAATAAAACCCTCAGACCCGAATCTGATCAAGCCTCTCATTCCAAGTCCAATTTACGGCAAAGATAGTTTTCAGAGGCCTGTGTTAAATGACCCCCCAGGGGCACAATCAGCAAGATCCAGACTGTGGGAAATTCTACGGTACAAAGGACGGAGATTCTTAACTCAATAAATTGCTAGAAAAAAAAAGAAAAAGAAAAGAGAGAGGGGATCTGTAGATCAATGGAGACCTACGCACCCCCCACCCCCCCCGCCCCAATAACAACAAAGAAACGCCAAACCAAACCAAAGCAAATGCAATTGTGTGGATCTCATTTGGATGCCAAAGCAAATAGAACAACTAGTAAGAGAAACCGTGTAGCAACGAGGGAAATTTAAATCCCAGTGGGTGTCTGATTGTATTAAAGGGACTGTTGATCTTTTTAGGCGCGAGACTGATAATGGCTTAAACAGAGACTTTATACTGTTTCTTGACGGAAATATTTATGGGTGACATGAGACTCCGGGGGTGTGGCTGAGGGTTCGAGAGCAGACGGAACGCGTTTGGCTGCGAATGGGTAACTTCTGAAACCGGAGATGTGCGTATGGCTCACTACACGCCTCTCTCTCCTTTTGTAGATGTTTGAAATGTTTCACAATTAAAAGGGGGAAAAGCCCATTCCCGCTGAGGTCTGCAAGGGACAAACACTGCTTTTTCTCTCTCTACGATACTGAAGGCCACAGAAGCAAGAAACAGAATCCCTGCTTGGATCCATTTGTACTTAGAAAAAAAGGATCATTATTTCATAATAAACTCAAAGGACACGTTTTCTTTTCAATGTAAGAAAAGGTGCAGGCTCTGGAGCTTGAATCTGAGCTTTGCAGGTCCTCGGATTTGGAACAACTGACTTGCCTCTCCTGCCTCAGTTTCTTCTTCTGTAAAATGGGGTGATGCCGATAATGCTTCTTGGGGCTCTCGTGCAGCTTGCGTGAGAGAGGAATGAGCATAGCTCCAGCATTCCACTCGGCACGTAGAAAGTGCCCTGTACATGTGAGTTCCTCTTACTCTTCTGCTGGCTCCTGTGTTCCAGTACCTGGGCAACCCCTTCCCTGACTCGTATCGAGCAGCTCCTGGGTGCTGGGCACAGGCTGGGCTTGGGTGGACCTGCAGCCTCCTTTAGTTCTGGGCTCTAATTGTCCTGGCCACTTGGCTGGCCTTCTCGGCACCCCGGGAGCCATTTGCTTTAGAAGTTTGCAGCCCAGCCCTCCCATACGGGGAAGAAAACTTAGGACCAGCAGCACAAAGCTAACGGTTCGCTGCTCAGATCCTCAGCGTGACTCGGGTCTTCTCCTTCTCTCCCCTGACTCCCCCAGAGTCCCAATTAGCAGGCTTTCCAGCCAGTCAGGGCTGCCAGCCCTCAGCTGCAGCACCTGCCTGCTCCCGTCCCCCTCCCCTGCCCAGGCCGTGGTGCCCTCTGGGGGGGAGTGAGAGGGCTGTGACTGGGCGTGGTCAGCTCTGGGCCATCCCCACTTTGTTTGCTTAGAATCCAAGACTCAGGCCCTGGATTGGGAATCAGCACCGACCCGAGGAGAGGAATGAGAACAGGCCCAGAGACAGCCGAGGGGACCTCACACTCAGCTGGCAGACCGTCCTCAGTCCTTCCCGCCCAGCCATGCCCGACGGCAGCGGGAACGGCCAAGGCTGCTAGTCCTAGAGCGATCTGGGTTGTTGGACACGTGCAGACCCGGCACGGAGGGCGTGCGGGAACCTTCCGGAGGGAGGTGTCTGCCATCACCCAGCCCTGGTCCCGGTCCCTGTCACAGCTGGCTCCCAACACTGCCCCTCAGACGCTCTGCCTCCCTCCCACATCTGGAGGGGCCGACCGCCTCCTCCCACCTGCCCAAGCCGCTGAGGCCAGGCTGCAAATGGGGCCCAGGGCGCGCTCCGGGCTCCTCGGGGAGAGAGGAGAGGCCAGGCGTGGGATCCAGGGTCTGGGTTCTAGGAGGGGACGGTTGAGAAGTCCTGGCTTTTAGCGCAGTTACAGTTACAGCAAATTTACTGCCACTGCAATCACTGGTACTGCCACCGTTACTGCCATCACCGGTACTGCCACCGTTACTGCCACGCTTACTGTTACCATTACTGACACTCTTACTGTTACCACGGTTACTGCCACGCTTGCTGCTACCACCGTTACAGTCTCTCTTACTGCTATTATTGCTATTGGCTGTGGGCTGAACTGTTTCTCCCTAAATATATACACTGAAGTCCCAAGGCCCAGGACCTCAGAAGGTGACTGCATCAGGAGGCAGCCTTTAAAGGGGCAATTAGGTTAAAACGAGTCTTTAGGGTGGGCCCTCCTCCCATCTGACTGGTGTGCTTGTGAGAAGAGGGGGTTTGGACACGGACACACGCAGAGGGAAGACCATGTGAGGACACAGGGAGAAGACGGCCGTCCGCAAGCCAAGGACTGAGGCCGCAGAAGAAGCCCGCCCTGCCGACACCTGGATCTCGGACTGCCCGCCTCCAGGACGGTGAGAAAACGAAGCTCCAAGTCCCGCAGCCCGGGGGCACTCGGTTACGCAGCCCGGGGGCACTCGGTTACGCAGCCCGCAGCGGAGCAAACGGACGCATTCCCGCTGCTACGGCTCCCGCATCGATCTCAGAGCAGTTGCCACGTGCCTGTCGTTGTGCTCAACACGTACAAACACGATCTCGCCTGGTCCTCGCACAGCCCTAGGAACAGGCACTGGGACCTTCGTTGCTGGCAAATGAGGAACAGAGGGTACTGTGGTTCCCAGCAGCTGGCACAGTGCATGGTGCTGGGCTCAGTAAAGACGAACTGAGGGAAGCTCAGTGAGATGGTAGAACCTGTCCAGGGAGCCAGCGACAGGCAGCGCTGGGACGCAACCCAAGTCCCCGAGAGTCCTGGTCCCGAGCCCTTCACGGGGCGTGGGGTCAAGTCCAGCCCAAGGACACAGGACCCAGCAGGATGCCCGTGAGAAGTGGGTTCTGGATTCCTATGCCCCGTATGCCTCAGTCTGAAACAAGCCCGGCTTTGTTCACAAGCCCGTCTCCCGGAGCACGTGCCCCTGCACTGGTCACACCTGGGTGGCGGCCATCCTCCCCACGGCCCGGACCTGGCCTGGGAGAGAGTCCTCGTGCCCTTTTCCTTGACCACCTGTCCTCTGCTTGGTCTGAACCAATGGTTTTGAAAACAGACGGGGACTCCCTCCTGCCCGCCCCCTCGCCTGTGCCCCCCGCCGAGCACCTCCCAGCATCCTCTGGGACGAGGACGGGCCTCACATACCTTGTAGCCCTGGTTGATGCCGTTGATGAACTGGGGGCTGGGGGCGTTCCAGGTGAAGCGGATGGTCGTGGAATTGGTGGCTTCTGCGTGCACGTTGCCCGGAGGGACCGTGGGGACTGGAGGAGAGCAGAGAGGGGGTGGCGGTGGAGGGGCACACACAGTTAAGTAGAGAAAACACAGGGAAGGGGTCTGTGGGCTCTGCTTATCCCCCCCAACTCTCCCCTCCCTGTGTAGACCAAAATGCCTTCTTTCTCTCTCTCTTTTTTAAAAAAAATATATTTTATTGATTTTTTACAGAGCGGAAGGGAGAGGGATAGAGCATTAGAAACATCAATGGGAGAGAAACATCGATCAGCTGCCTCCTGCACACTCCCTACTGGGGATGTGCCCGCAACCAAGGTACATGCCCTTGACTGGAATCGAACCTGGGACCCTTGAGTCCGCAGGCCGACGCTCTATCCACTGAGCCAAACCGGTTAGGGCTGCCTTCTGTCTCTTGATTAGTTTGCATTAATAAAGCTTGTCTGGCTCAAAGAGAGAGAGAGAGAGAGAGATAGAAACATTGACAGCTGGTGTGGCTCAGTGTCGACCTATGAACCAGGAGGTCATGGTTCAATTCCTGGCCAGGGCACATGCCTGGGTTGCAGGCTTGATCCCCAGTTGGGGGTGTGCAGAAGGCAGCTGATTGATAATTTCCTCTCGCCATTGATGTTTCTATCTCCCTCTCCCTTCCTCTCTGAAATCAATAAAAAATATGTAAAAAATAAAGCTTGTCTGACCCATTTCACAGGGCACTGACAAAGGAAAGTACTGGATATGAAAATGCTCGGGGTGGTGTTAGGTCCAACGCTAAGACGTAAGCTGGTTCGTGATCCAGTTAATGTGAGCCTTCGCAGAAGGTCCCTGAACCCCTGCAACCTCCGCCTGCATCGCGCTCGCCCAGACCTCTCCCTCTTCTCCGCAGGCCCCTCCCCATGGGGCCACTGGCACACCCACCTCCCTGCAGCGTCCACTCGGTGACTTTGCCACTGTAGACGCCCAGCCCGGCGCTGTTGTAGGCGGCCACCTCGATCTCGTAGTTGGTCCAGATGATGAGGTCCTCCAGCAGCAGGTTGTTGACGTCAGCATCCGTGATGTTCTTGAACTGGTACCCGACAGGCAGCCCGGCCAGGCAGTACCTGAGGGGAGGGAGTCAGGATATAGTGGGTTGGTGGTGGCTCGTGTGCCTCATCCAGTGGCTTCCTGACTGGTTAACACAAGTCTTGGGGACCATTCTGGTTTTTTTAAAAATATTATTTTATTTAAAAAAATATTTTTATTGATTTCAGAGAGGAAGGGGCAAAGAGAGAGAGAGATAGAAACATCAATGATGAGAGAGTATCATTGATCGGCTGCCCACACTGGGGATGGAGCCCGCAACCTGGGCCTGTGTCCTGACCAGGACCTGAACCGTGACTTCCTAGTTCATAGGTTGACCCTCAACCATGGGGCCACACCACCCAGGCTGGGTTCATTTTCTTTCTCCCTCTAGGACAGTGGCTCTCTCTCTGGCCGGTCACTCACATGGGTAGAGAGAAAAAAGCCTGAGGCTACCTACGCCAGCATCTCTACCTGCCACCAGAACAAAGAACACAGGGAACAAGGAAGTGACACCTCTACAGGCAAATTCAGGCGGCTGGGAGCTCAGAGAACCAGGATGTGCACTTACCTGAGCTCTAACCTTGGGAGATTAGGGGCCCCGGGTGATCTGGGTGTTATTATACCCATAGCAGGGGTTCTCAAAGCCTTAGTGCGCATGGAAAACACCCGGAGGGCTTGTTAAAACAGATTGTTGGGACTCCCCCGCCCCCCATGCTTCCCATTCAGATCGGGGTGGGGCCTGAGAGCGGTTTCCAAGGCTCTCACTGCTGGAAGTTCTTCTAGACCAGTGGTTCTCAACCTCCTGGCCCTTTCAATGCAGTTCCTCATGTTGTGACCCAACCACAAAATTATTTTCGTTGCTACTTCATAACTGTAATGTTGCTACTGTGATGAATCGTCATGTAAATATCTGATATGCAGGATGGTCTTAGGCGACCCCTGTGAAAGGGTCGTTCGACCCCCAAAGGGGTCGCGACCCACAGGTTGAGAACCGCTGTTCTAGACGTCTAACCGCCGTCCTTCCTACCAAAGGGCGGGCTTTCCTTACTGCCTGATCCTTGCTAGATGGCGAAGGGCCGTGTGAATTGGCTCTGTTCTCCCATCCACGGGCCCCTCCCCAGTCCCTCCGGCGGGCAGACGCCGACCTGATGATGTAGCCCTTGAGGAGGCCGTTCTGGTGGTTCTCCGGGGGCGGCTGCCACTGGATCATGATGGACTGGTTGGTCCGGCCGCTGGCGATGACGTTCTGCGGAGGGGCGGTGGGGGGCTCCTCGGGGAGCGAGACCCTGGAGAGGAAAACACCGGGGGTGGGTGGGGGTTTCCCGCTCTTAGTTCTGAGGGCAAACACCGGAGTTTCATGGGATCGGAGGAGGCTGAACCCTGCCCTGCTCTGTTCCCGGGCGATGCACGAGTGCTGTGTGCTTTTGGGCAAGTCACTCAACCTCTCTGAGCTTGTTTCTTCATCTGTAAAAGAAACAGAATGAAGCTCCAATTGCCTGTTTACAAGACTGGTGGGGGCTGAAATGACACAATGGATGTACAAGTCTTTTGAAAACACGGGAAAGCACCGATGTATGTTTTCTGTGCAGCCCAGGAATGTGGGCCTCAGTTTCCCACATGTCAGAGCAGCAGCTGTGAAGCTGATGACGTCTGTCATGAGATGCCTGTGTTTTAGAAGCAGGAGTGCTCCATCCTCCCCTGGCAGCTGCCAGCTGGTGGTGCATTTTATTTATTCATTTATTTTAAAAAATATTTTCATTGATTTCAGAGAGGAAGGGAGAGAGAGAGAGAAACATCAACGATGAGAGAGAATCATTGATCAGCTGCCTCCTGCACGTCCCCCACTGGGGATTGAGCCTGCACCTGGGCATGTGCCCTGACCAGGAACTGAACCATGACCCCCTGGTTCATAGGTCGATGCTCAACCACTGAGCCACGCCGGCCGGGCTGGTGGTGCACTGTAACTGGGCCTCCTTTACCCACAGGCTGCGCCCAGGCTGGGGCGGGGCAGGCGGGTGGGGTGACATGGTGAGTGGGTGACAGCCAGCCCATCGCCCGCCTCCTGAAGCCGAGCGCCTGCGTTTCTCTCGGGCATCGCCAGGGACACGGCGTTCCCCCTCGGCACGTTTCTCACATGACTGACACGCATCCATTAAAAACACAAGTTAATTATTTTCGACGGATGCCTTTCCTTCTGGAAACTAGTTTCTGATTTTGCTTTCAGACGGGTCGCTCTCCACGAGGGCTGCACTGCCGTCTCTGCAGAGCTGCGGGGGGAGCTCACCTCCTCCCGGCGACTCCGGGCCACACAGGAGGATGGGTTAGGAACATGAATGAGGGGGAGCTGACGGACCGGGGATGCTGGGGGAGGGTCGGCCCTGCACTTTGAGGCCTTTCCTTTCTTTTTTTTTTTTTTTGAATCGAATAGGTAGCATTTTATTCTGTTTGTCAAGGCTGATGGTCTACACGGCTGCCTCTCCAGGTCGGAAGGGGAAGTGGAGATCCCTGTTTGATGCCTTGCGGATAGGGCTGCTTTGTTCTGTATTGAATTCATTGGGTGACACTGGTTAATAACTCACAGCGGTGTCAGGTGTACAGTTCCATCACCCCTCACCTGTATACTGACCTGGATTGTGCGTTCACCAACCCAGGTGAGGTCTCCTTCCGTCACCACCTATAGCCCCTTTACCTTCTTCTACCTCCCCTCCCCCGATCCCTCTGGTAATCACCATGCTGTTGTCTCTGTCTATGAGGTTGTTTGTTGTTGTTGTTGTTTTTGGCTTAATCCCTTCACCTTTCTCACCCAGCCCCCTCTCTTAGTGGGATCTTGTAGCTCTGAGCCACTGGGGCCATGCCCGCTTTATTCCCTGCACCAGCACCACCTCTGGTGGCCCACACATGGCCTGGAGCATAGTAGGTGCTCAATAAACAGAGAATGAACAAGTTCTCTTATAACTGCTCTCCATGCTAGGCTGTTATAGCCCCCCCGCCCTGTGAAATCCAGAGACAGCTTGCTAGCACTGTGGCGAAACCACACATCTGCCAGAGGTCTGTGGACACACCTAAGAGCATCTTTTAAAAATAAAACCCCTATTCTTGGCTCCCTTGTCAATTATTAGCTGGCGTATGTGCAACCGTTTATTTCTGGGCTCTCCGTTCCATTCCCTGGGACCACGTGTCTATGCCAGCGCCACGCTGTCCTGGTTACTACCGTTTGGCAGTAGAGTTTGACATCAGGAAGCACGGTGCCTCTGGCTGTGTTCTTTCTCAGGATTGCTTTGGCTACCGGGGATTTTCTGTGGCTCCATACCCATTTTAGGATGGTTTTTTCCCTATTTCTGTGAACATAGGGGTGGCACTGACTTCATAGAAGGCTTTGGTGATGTGGGCATCTTTAACAATATTAATTCTTCTCCGTGGGAGGAGCCGTGTTGGGAAGACTGGATAACCACATGCAGAAGCATGAAAGGGGACCCCTTCCTTACACCACTCCCCAAACTGAACCTGAAATGGACGAAAGACGTAAATACAGCGCCCGACACCGTAAAAATCCCGGAGGAAAACCCAGGGGAGCTCCTGGACCTGGCCTCGGCAGTGACTGCCTGGATAAGACAGCGAAGGCACAGGCAACAGAAGCAAAGATAAACGCGCGGGACTACATCTCACTGAAAAGCTCTGACGGCAACGGGAACCCCCACCAAGACGAGAGGCCGCCTATGGAATGAGAGAAAACATCTGCACATCGTCGATCTGATTAGGGGTTAATATCAGAAATAGAGAAAGAACTCACACAGCTCCAAGGCAAATAAAAAAAAGCAAAACCCAAGAACAAACAACCATTAACAAATGGGCAGAGAACCGGAATAGACATCTATCGAAAGAAGACATACAAATGGCCAACAGGTGCATGAAAAGGACCAATTATCAGGGAAACGCAAATCAAGGCCACCAGGAGACGTCACCTCACACGCGTTAAAATGACTATCATCAACAAGACAGGAAGTAACACGTGTGGGTGAGGGAATGGCGGGAAGGGAGCCCTTGGGCGCTGCTGGTGGGAAT